TAAGAAATAACTCTTAGACATTAAAAATATAATAGCTAAAATTAAAAAATCATTAAAACGGTTGGAAATGTAGTTAAGGAATTTTTCCTGAAGATAAAGAAAAGATAAGGAGACATAAAATAGAAAAGAGTTCTAGGTCAATATGGAAGCTTCAACAGGAGATTAGAAGTTATATAAAGAAAGAAGAGGAAAAAAATGGTTAAAAGGAAATTATCAAATAAATTATCCCAGAAATGAAAGACTTAAATTTCTGTTTTGAAACCTGCCATCACAACAAAATAACAGACCTACCACAAAGCACATTGCTGTGAAACTTCAGAATGCCATGAAATAATCTCTCAAAGGCAATTGGAAGCTAGACAATGAGTGAACAAAGCTTTCAAAATTCTGAGAAGAAATTATTTTCAACTTGGAATTCTATATGTAGACAAACTTTGAATCTTATGTGAGTGTAGAATAAAGATTTCTCAAATACGCAGGTCCTCTGATTAATACCTCTGCCCCTTTCTCAGGAAATGACTAGGAGATGAGCTCCTCAAAACCAGAAGAAAATCAAGAAAGGAATTATTTGATTTCAGAAATTGCTAGTAAACACAAAAGCAAGCCAAAGGGGAACCACTAGGATGATTGTAAATGGATGTCCCAGGACAGCACTGTTATGGACTAAACGTTTCTGTTCCCCTAATATTCATATTTTAACACCCTATCCCCTAATATGATGGCATTTGGAGGTGGGGCCTTTGGGAGGTGATTGAAATTAGATGAAATCATAAGAGTAGAGTCGTCATAAATGAGATTAATGACTTCATAAGAATTATGAGAGAGCTTGCTTCCCCTGTCCGTTCTTTACCATGTGAAGATACAATGAGAAGTCATGAGTCTGCAACCAGGAAGAGGTTGCTCACCAAACTCAACTTTGCTGACACCCTACTCTCAGCTTTCCATCCTCCAGAAACATGAGAAACAAATTTCTGTTGTTTATAGCCGCCCAGTTATGGTATTTTTGTTATAGTAGCCTGAGCTGGCTAAGACAATCACCTATGCAGTAGGTCTAAAGAGCAACAAATTCAACTTGGAGCGTGAGGATGGAGGGTTCCAGGAGGAATACTTGCAAGAGAAAAAATGTAGAAAAGGTAGATCTCTTCACAGTTTGGTCTCTGTGGAAAATTGCATTTAGCTTTTTAAAAATAGAGTTGTTGGAGAATCATTCAAGACCTAGGAGAGGACTGAAAAAAACCAAGCATGAAACAATAAGGTCTTCGTTACAGAAAAACAGAGTTATGCAGGAATAAAATTATAGTCATTATACACCACTTGATTCAGTAGTAAATTGTCACAATAAAAAAAATACAAATGCTTAACTATATCTTATCATATAATGAGAGAATGTGAAAGAGGAGGGAAAGTAGAAATGTAAGAGAATTAAATCTTCATCGTCAAATGTGGAGTAGATAGTTACTGTCTGAAGTCGATGACTTGAAAAATAGCAAAATCCCTGTATTTGGAAATGCAAATGCAAACACAAGAAAGCAAGGAAAGAATATTTAAAGAAGTTACATCAGAATAGCAGAACGTGGGGGAAATTTGGGAATTATTGAGGGTACTGTGTTTGCTGATAACTTTGTTATAAGTATTTTTACCACTATTTGACTTTTTTGACTTTGATAAAAATTGGATTTTTAAAAATAAAATGAGAAAAATAGATAGTCTTTCAGAATACTAAAAGATCAATGTGCTTTTTCTGCTAACCATTTATCACCTATTATACAATATTCATACACTGCCTTTCAGATATCACCTTTCTGTTTGTATGATTTCAGCTTTCTGCTTGTAAGAGAATTAGTATGTCATATACCTGAGAAATAACTGTACCCCCAAAATTTGGAAGGCACTGAGTTTTTCTCCTAAAAAGAGATGTAGCTTTCCAACTCTTAAAATTTTAGTTAGGGAAGAAATAATTATCAATCTATATTTCAAAACTTAACATCATTAAAAGTTTTAACAATAAAGACTTCTGGCTTTTTGAAGCAACTTTAAATAGCTGATTCAATTATTCATTTGCAAATAATTTGCATTTCATTCACTACACTAATATGAATTTTGTCTTCCTGTGAAAGGCACAAATAGATTTGTCTATGACTTTTGAGACCAGTACTTAGAGGTCTTGAAGAATTATTTCTAACTTTTTCTAAAAAGACATAATTTTTAAAAAGTTATTAAATATATGTGAGAGTTAGAGGGGTTTTAGGCCTACGATGAGGATTATGACCAAGAATTTCCAGGAACAAATATTTCATGTAAATACTTTTTGCTGCTTTTCTAGTTTATAGAGCCTAAGTTTTCTCATTAATACCATACTGAAAAACAGCTCTAGGTGTAGAACACCTTTTATTCCCTCTTTTCTCTATTTACTTGCTGTGTTCTCTTTTCAGCAATTTAATATTTCAAAACTTCCTATAATTCTCAATATTCTTTATCTTACTTTCTCCCCTAAAGTTTCTCCAAAACTTTCTATCCCTGGCTCAGATCTATTCTTTTTTCCTGTCATTTTTAGAAAGAAAGGACTCCTGCCAAGAAGGGTTTGAACTATGCCTGACACTCAAGGCCATTGGAAAGCAACTTAGTAACATGGCCTTGACTTTAAGGCAGTTTGAATCTTCAATTTAAGAAAGAATAATGTAAAACAAGATCAAAATTAATATAAAACGAAATAGTCTACACTTTAGAAGAAAAATGCTTACAACAACAAAGTTTTGAAGAATTAGACAATATATGTTGAATACTCATCCTCTGTTTCCAGGGAATGTTTTGCACTCAGTGCACATACAGAACAGTCTCAGAGAGCATCTGTCTCCAAATTGCTATACAATAACAACTAATGTTTAAAATAATCTCTAAGAAATTAAAGATGCAAAATAATTAAAATCAAAATTCAATTTTAATATTATTAAAGGAAAATTGGACTGTAACATTTTGGGAAAGATTTTGTCTCAACCAAAGGCTTTCTTCAGGGATCTTGGTTAGCAGGAAACCATATTTAAGTCCACCTAAGCAATTCTCTTAAAATCCCCTGCTCTTCTGTAAATGTTTATATTTAATAAACTGCACCACCATTCAGCCAGTAGATCAAGCCAGGAGCCTTGGAGTTGGGTTAACTTTTTACCTCTTCCAATAGACCTCCAAATCCTGCTGGTTGTACCTTTTTAATATCTGTTAAAACCAATGTCTTTTTCTGTCTTTTCTGTACCTTTGAAATGTCTTTTCTGTACCTTTGAAAACACTATTGTATTAATCTTTCAGTACTCTGCCTCTCAATACGCCTCTGACCCTGTTCCTCTCAGCTGAAAAAAACACAATTTGCCCTTTAGACAAATGTTAACCCCATAACATATATCTTAAGATCTTCCATGACTAATTCCACCTTTCTTATTACATGATTCGGCATCGTCTCAACCTGCCTTCTCTTCTCTTTCTTCATACCATGTGCACTGCAGCTCCAATCTCTTGCTTATCTGCTTTACCACAAGCTGCTAGCACTTCCTCCAAAGTCCTCCCCTCCTCCCTTGCCTATTCATCCTCTCTTCAGGTCTTAGTTTAAATGCCATTTCTCAGAGAAGCCTTTCTTGATTCCTAATCTAAATTCATTAAATGTTGAAACCACCTCGTTCATAGACTTAGGTTCTGGGCTGGCTGGCCTTCATTTGCAGCTGTATGACAGGAAATCCCAATGGTTTTAGAAAATTAACAAACTTTAAAATAATAAAATGTTATCTATTATTTATGAAAATTGAGGAAAACTTAATTTTGATTTTTTAATTTTGATTGCACATTTTGGAATAGCTAACAAAACACTAATGTGAGGAATACAATTGTCTGTGACCTCAATTTTTGTCATATTAAAAATAATTATGCCATGGCATCAATTTTTTGTAGTATTAAAAAAATCACTACTTGAGTGGGATTCTTTACCTATACCTTTAGTTCAAATGTTAGTTAATCAATTCCTGGTTAAATATTTGTATGTAACAAAATTTAATATGTAGTTCTAAAACATACTGAAAGATTCATGTCAATTTTTTCTTGCTTGTATAAGTGACCAACGATATTAATGAGAGTAGAGATATATAAAATTTGAGAGAGGAATACAAATATTTTTATATACTGCTTTGTGTTCTCAAGTGTATTATATAAAGTGCCAAAATGAACCTTATTTCATTCTCAAAACAACTCCAAGAGGCAGCCAAAATGGATATCATCATCCCCTTTATACGGACTCACTCAAAGCTACAACCTATTGTTATCAATCCAGAGTTAAAATCCAGGACTTTTGACTGCAGATTCAGAACTCTTTTCTCCAAACTTGCCCTGATTATGTGCCTAATCTTGAAAATTTAAGATATTAATTCCTTTGTGGTAACAATGTTCTCTCCAGCTATTCTTACTTTAAAATACATAATCCTCTGAAGAATACATATTTAAATACACTGACATGAGAATCAATTTGTCACACCATTTCTCTTAAGGCAGAGGGACTTCCAGCTAATGGAGATGTATGACCAATGATGATGGCCAAAAAAAAGGTCGTCACAAAAATAGAAGTAAGGGACACATTAAGAAAACTGCATTTTAACCTATTTGTTGACCATCTCCATACAAGAAAGCCTCTTTCTAACCAAACACACTATTTTAAAAAGTAGCTCTTTTCTGACCATGTTTAACTAGCAGTGATAAAATGAGTGTTTTAGCCTGTCTTTATGAGACAGTTACAGCACCTTGCACTTGGATAGTACCACATAATTTACTTTATATGTTTATATACATTATTCAATTTGATCTTTGCAAAAAATATGTGCTTTGCTTATTTATAGAGGAGTCTCTAACTCTCAGAGAGCTTAATGGGCAAATGGAGGACAGAATACCATTCTTTAAACTCTAAAGTCTTCCCTCCCAAATCCCACAATGCTCCTGCTCATACAGTATTATTCTTAGTGGATACTTACATTTCATCACACCTTGAATTTCATAAACAGGCTTGAGAATCAGGGCACCATAAAAGCCTTTAGGGAAGGGATTCTTTAAATCCCACTTGTTTGAAAAATCTGTAAGTTTCACAGTTCGTGTTCGGTTCTTGGGGATCTTCCATTCGACAATCTCCTTTAGGGTATAAATATGTTCATCTTCACACTCATAGAATTCTCCTTCTTGTGACAAAGGCAAAGTAAATGAGTGGTTTTGATGATTCCTTACCACTCCACAGTTCACCAATATTTCTCCATCTATCTCTTCAACTGAGTTGAGCATGATTTGCTCACCCTGCTTTACAATGAGATTCTCTACTTTTATATCCTTCTGATGATAGAAGCAAGGATGCCCCAGTCTACTTGATCCAATGTGGGTGGTCCTTGTAATTTCTTCCATGGTAAGGTATGGAGTTTTATCAGCCACAATCTTGAAAAGACCTAAGAACAGAAGTGTGTAAATTACAGAGAGTTCTTACAATCAAAGTTCTCAAACTAAAATCACAATGAGGGGGTTATAAGACAAGTACGATGTCGCTTTTGAAAATAATGCACCTTTTTAAAGACCAGAAATACTTGTTTTTTTAAATTAAATTTATTGGGGTGACATTGGTTAATACAATTATATAGGTTTCAAGTGTACAATTCTATAATACACCATCTGTAGATTTATTGTTTGTTCACCACCCAAAGTTAATATATTTAATACTCTTTACCCTTTTCTACCTCCCTGCCACCTGTTTTTCCCTCTGGTAATCACCATACTATTGTCTATGAGTTTTTGTTTGTTTTATTTGCTTGCTGCTTTCAGTTTTATACCCCACATATGAGTGAAATCATACGGTTCTTGATTTTTTTGATCTGACTTATTTTGCTTAGCATAATATTTTCATATATAATGGAATACTACTCAGCCATAAGAAAAGATGAAATACTGACATTTGTGACATGAATGGATCTTGAGAAATACTTATTTTAATTCTGCATTTTTCTAGGCAAAATATTAATGTATCATCTGTAGATTACTAGATCATCAGACCTAGGCAACATAAGTAGAGACAGGAAAAATAATACCTTGAAAGAGAAAAGGCCCTGTTCTTGAAAATGGGAACTCTGTATGAGACACTGTGTGATCTTGAACAGGGCATTGATTCTCTTAAGATCACATTTTTTATTTTTATTTTTTAAATGAGAGGATTGGATTAGATCATGTTTCTATAAATATAATCTCTGGACATATCAAAATTAAAAGATATTACAGAAGGGAACTGTTTCATGGATAAATTAATAATTGCAAAACATTATATGTAGAATTAGATAGTGGTGCTGGTTGTACAACATTATTATCTGTACTTAGAAACACGGATTTGTATACTTAAATATGGTAAATTTTATGTTATGTACATTTTACCCCAATGAAAAATATCTACATATTTCCAATTAATTTAAGATTTCTCAGAAATTTTAGATATACTATGACTCGTACAAAGGGACTATAACATGCAAAAATTTTTAAATTTCTTTGATTAAAGTACTCTTGGGAAAACATCCATTAATAAATCACAACATAATACATCATGATATTTTAGTGCTCCACATAACTCTCCTTGGAAAATGCCAGGTTAGGTATTTCTAAACTGAAAACTCTTGATTACATATCATTCTTTCTTCTCATTACTTCTCTAATCTTATCATTTTCACTAATTAATTTTTTTCCTCTAATGCCATTGAAATAGTCAATAATACAATGAATTTTTACTATCTATGATATATCTTTTTCTGCTTGTATGCTTAAGTGTTTAAGTTCAGTTCTCTTTGAATTATTTTCCTTTTATTTTATGGGCACATCTGCTTTGTAGCACTTTCAGAAATTTATTTGTTGGATAAGTTTTAATATTCCAGAGAAAACAAGAATTAAGAAAAATTATAGAATTGCTTTCTTAACCCCAAATTAATGATAATATTATATACTACCATGTACTTAAAAGACAGTATATTTTTAAAAAATCTTACTGGAATGATATAGCTTAGAAAAGTCATTTATTAGTTTACTAAACATATATATTTCAACCAAATTTATCTATATATCAAACATTATTAACCAAGTTATAATGCTTATTAGGTATATTTTACTTTACTGTACAAAGACTTATGGTTAGTTATTTTTGTAACAGACTTTTGCTCAAATGAAAAATATAAGATTTTTTGGTTATTTTTAGCTATAAAATTCCTGAAAAAATGTAGGCGATGAAATCCTGGCAAGGAATGAGTAAGGTAACATGTGCAATCTGTCCTGAAAACCTTTAGAGATTGAATAGTGTTCATCCATTGCATTACAGTATACTTAAGACAGCAAGGCAAAGAAATATTTATTTTGAAAGACCTTATTTCATTACATCTTGTATCAGAGAAAATCCAATAAAATAGTATTCTTGAACTCTTCAAAGTAAATAAATTTGTGTGTGTGCACGCGCATGTGCGCACACACCTTCACGCACACACACGTTTACTCTCATTTATCTGTGTAAAGATTTATTTCTAAGAGTCCATAATCACTGTCAGGGTATAGCAAATTCATCAGTTTTTGTGACATAAGTTTAAAAAAATAGCTGCCCAGAATCTCATAAATGGTAAAGACTTTTTTTTTCCTATCCTAGCTGTATTGATGATGTAAGTTGCAGAAAATTAATTCAGCATGTTCTTTCCTGGGGAATTGAGTTCACCTAAGGTAATGACAAATCTAAAGTGTTATGAAGTAAAAAAAAATCCCGAAACTCTAAGGGCCACCATTATTTCAAGTTAATTACGCACTTCAGAACTGTCTTGTTGGGTGTCTCTATTTCAAGAAAAATCTATCTATAAATCTGTGTGTTTTCCCTTAGAAAATGATTAAGTATACAGTTTAGCATACTAAGTGGCAGAGCACAGAAAAAATATCTGAGTAACTTATTTTTTCATATACTACTATATCCAAATTCCCTTCTTATAAATAGCCAGTTAATATCACATAAACTAAGACAAGCTTATATATATATATAATAAATGATAGATGATAGATAGTTAGCTAGCTAGATGATAAATAGATAGATAGATAGATAGATAGATAGATAGATAGATAGATAGATAGATAGATATGTGTAGATAGATGTCAAATATATTCACACACACACATATGTGATGTCATAAAGGAACTTCAATTCCACAATAAAGTATTTTACTTTATTGTGAAAGGACTGATCAGGTTTAAATTTGACCAATATTTACTCTATCTTTTTCATGAAGAGTATAGTAGTTTTTTTTTTTTACTGGGGAAAATATGACTTGTTATCCTTCCAAAGAAAAACAAAATACATTATAGGAGCTGAGTGATTATACATTAAGCTAATATGTAACCTTCATAAAGTAAGTTAAAAAACAAAAAATAGATTTATGTTTCCATATTTAATTGCTACTTATTAAAATGGATATTATTATTAAATTAGGAGAAATTGTTCACAAAAAGCATGTCACTTAAAAAACAAAAATTATAAGAAAATGCAATAAACTGACCTGTTGAAAATTAGTCAACAATTGAATTTAATCTTTAAGATATTGTTCCTGAATATTAGATTTTTAGAGAGTTTATATTTTTAACTAATTCTTAATGATCAGCAATCATTGTAACTAATAGTAATAGCAACAAATGAAATTTGTTTATAAATTTACAAATTTGAATGATTTTTTATATATACATCATTTATTCTCAGAATAAGCTTTTAAGGACAATAAAATACATACTACTAGGGGATATGAAAGTGGTTGTGATTTTCACAATCTGGCTCTAGAATCTCAAATCAGACCTCTGACATCCAAGTCTCACACGCTTGCCACCACACCAGGCTGCCTTTCTGTTACACGTATGACTTACAAAGACATTGGTTATGAAAACATGTTTATTTCAGTTCACAAAATATGTATATGCATCTCACGAGCTGGCCCTCTCTTTGCATGGATCAGCCTTTTTAAACCCTCCAGTGAGAAGAACAAGAATAATTTCTTGTTTCAGTGTGTAGAATTTCTTCTCATCAGATTTTTTTCTACTTTTTCCTCTTTCTATCTCATTAATTCCCGCCCAAATAAGGAGTAATTTTAAAAATTAAATTTTCCAACTGTGTATCACAATATTATTTAATATACATAGTATAAGATCATTGTGAGGAGTTCACAATTTTTTTTCCTAGTCTAATCTCTAGCTGGCTTTTCCCGCTGCAACCAAATACATTTCCTCTATCTTTGAAAAAAAGGAATCTTAGCATGAACTTTACCTACAAATTCTCATCTTCCTCTCATATCATTAAAATTAGAAATCTTAAAATATTTGTAAATTACAATGTGTATATCATACATATCTTATATGTATGATATAATTTAGTTTTAAAAATATCAATATGAGGGGGTAGCTCCATAGTGTAGTGGTTAGCACATCTGCTTTGCACACAGAAGGTCCTAGGTTCGTGCCCCAGGTGGAGCCACGGACCATAACCCCCAGTGCACCAGGCCCCGGGTGCTCGCCCCAAGCGCGTGCGAGGGGATGCCCCGCCTTCAGAGATCCAGTTCTTAACGGACCATAACCCCTGGTGCACCAGGCCCCGGGTGCTCGCCGCAAGCGCGTGCGAGGGGATGCCCCACCTTCAGAGATCCAGTTCTTAAAAGGAAACGGCCACATCCATGAGTCAGAGGTGAAAGTGGCAGGGGGAATTAAAGAAAGAAAAATATAATAATAATAAAAATAGGAATATGAGGTAGCTAGAAATAAAATACAAACATTTCACAGATAGGTACATGAAGGTTGGAAGAGATGCCATAAATTCTCTAGCATCACATAGTTCATAAGAAACACAGTATGTTTTTGTGTCTCTAAAGCTCAAGGAGTTCATCACAGAGTTACTCATTTCAACCTTTTATTATTATCGCAAATCATATATTGCTTATCCAGATTTTTATTAGCTTACGGGGATGGGTCTGAGGTGGGTGTTTACCCTGCTTTTGGATGCAGAAAGACAAAGTTTTTAAAATCTGAAGACATAAGATGGTGAACTTTGCTGATCTTTCAGACATCGAGGGCACTTGTCTCACCTGTTCATATGTCAGATGGCCACATGCCTGTAGGTATAGGTAAGGCCTCTGAGGAGCCCTGAGAACTATACAAAGTGAAGGCTTTGACAGTGCTGCACATACTAGTTCATGTACTGTCAGCGTGCTGCAGGTTAGCTGGTCATATTTAAGTAGATTTCTAGAATATGCTATCATAGTTTTTACATAAAGTAACCCACAAAAAATGGATAAGTGACTTTAAACACTTCCTGCAAGCAAACCATGTATTGAAATTAAAACTAATATAAACATTAGAATGACAAAAAATAGCAGAGTTGACATTTCTATTTCCACTCAAGCTTTTCTTC